GTCGGTGTAAAAAATATTTACGTAGTGAGTTCAATTCCAATGAAAAATTGTTACACATTTGCAACCGAAAGAAATTTAAATAGTCATTTGAAAATACACACTAGTAAAGATTTGTTTAAGTGTGGAATATGTTTGAAACTGTTCACACTAAAAAAATATTTAAGAGTGTACCTAAAAATACACACTGGTAGAGACTTGTTTAAGTGCAGGATATGTTTGAAACAGTTTACACTAAAAAATATTTAATAGTGCACTTAAAAATTCACACTGGAGAAAAACCGTTTAAATGTGAAATATGTTTGAAACAGTTTATACATAAAAGCAGATTAAAATCGCACATAATAATCCACACTGAAAAGGACACTTTAAAGTGTAAAATATGTACGAAACGCTTTGTCCAGAAAAGCGCTTTAAAAAAGCATTTAAAAATTAACCCTAGACAAAAACCGTTCGAGTGTGAAATATGTTCGAAATGGTTTGGCGTGAAAAACAATTTGGAAAGGCACTTAAAAATTCACATTGAAGAGAAACTGTTCGAGTGTGAAATATGTTTGAAACAGTTTATACGTAAAATCAGTTTAAAAAGGCACATAAAAATCCACACTGAAAAGGACACTTTAAAGTGTAAAATATGTTCGAAATGCTTTGTCCAGAAAAGCGCTTTAAAAAAGAATTTAAAAATTAACCCTAGACAAAAACCGTTCGAGTGTGAAATATGTTCGAAATGGTTTGGCGTGAAAAACAATTTGGAAAGGCACTTAAAAATTCACACTGAAGAGAAACTGTTCGAGTGTGAAATATGAAACAGTTTATACGTAAAAGCAGTTTAAAAAGGCACATAAAAATCCACACTGAAAAGGACACTTTAAAGTGTAAAATATGTTCGAAATGCTTTGTCCAGAAAAGCGCTTTAAAAAAGCATTTAAAAATGAACCCTAGACAAAAACCGTTCGAGTGTGAAATATGTTCGAAATGGTTTGGCGTGAAAAACAATTTGGAAAGGCACTTAAAAATTCACACTGAAGAGAAACTGTTCGAGTGTGAAATATGTTTGAAACAGTTTATACGTAAAAGCAGTTTAAAAAGGCACATAAAAATCCACATAAAAATCCACACTGAAAAGGACACTTTAAAGTGTAAAATATGTTCGAAACGCTTTGTCCAGAAATGCGCTTTAAAAAAGCATTTAAAAATTCACCCTAGACCAAAACGGTTCGAGCGTGAATGGGAAATGATTTGACATGAAAAGCAATTTGGAAAGGCGCTTAAAACTTCACACTAGAGAGAAACCGTTCGAGTGTGAAATATGTTCGAAACAGTTTATCCAAAAAGTAAATTTGAAAAACCACTTAAAAATTCACCTTTGTTAAAAACCGTTCACACAATCAAAATTATATTACAGAAAAAAAGTATTTATGATAAAAATGTCATTGGATATCAAAATATAGTTTACTTTAATATTTTGAGGTGCGAGCCATTTTCAACCAGTCCGATCCTGCTGTTCTATTATCCAGTCGATGGGAGAGACATTCAAGCGCCTACGCGAAATTACTAGATGAATCAGTGGCGGGAACATTTTTCGCGAAGAAGTCTGTAACTTGGCCTCAAAAAGTCCGTAGAGATCTGTAGACGTGTTATAAAAATCCATAGAATAATCAAACAGTTTGTATTATCCTCAACTATCACTCATGATTCAAATATACCGTGGCCAACAACACCCGAAGTTGAAGTGAGGAATAGATGTCAACAAACTATTATAATAAAAAATTGGTTATTTTTGTGTTTAATTGAATTCGGCATCTCCTAAAACCCCCCGAGTAACTAGTTTGGAGCGATTTTCATGCACGCTGCCATTTCTCCCCCAATCCACCCCGCTCACTCTCACTTTTTTCCTGGGACCTTCCTGAACACAATGCTGTCCCTAAAAATTTACGCTATTTTTCCTAACTGCCCTGGACTAATATTTAAAAAATATGTGTGACATATATCGACTATTTTAGGAATATGTTACTTGTTTATTAAAACTAACACTTTATTATCGTTCTATTTCATAAAGTGACTTATTAGGGGAGCGATGGGTAATTGGGAACACAAAGAAAAACATTTTTTTTAACTATAAAAGTTATAAGAAAACGGTATTGTACGGTTAAAGTATAAGTATGATACTAACCGACATTGACTGCCATATAATTATAATAATTGAAAAAAAAAAAGATAAGACTGTCTAAATAATTGTGGTCAAAATCGCGATTACCCGACACCTTATGGAAATGCCGAACTCCAGGAGGGTAACGTCAAACACTAGGAAGGGAATTGCGAACAAAGGCACATTTATTTACCACATTAATAAAAAAAAAACATTGGTACAAATAACTGTCGAACTATAATGATACTAACCAAAAACTAGATTCTTAGGAAGAAGAAAAAAATTACTTAAATTATCAGACAGAACTTTTTTGCCTTTAAGATCAAATGATGAAAAAAAATACATATTAAATGCAAAGGTCACATTTGTAGTTGTCAGGCTTCTCTGCACCGCTGCATAATTTATGTGACCACCCTCCACAGTTGAGACATCTGTACCAGATTTCATTCTTGCCGTATTCCCCACAGATAATGCAGGACTCTCCATCACTATGGTCAATATTCATATTTTATTGGTCAGTATCATCTAATTCATCGTCATTACACATATCTTGATCATTAACTTTCCTCGTCACTTGACGAATCAAAAAATTTTCGTTTAACCGACTTTTTAATCTTCCCGGTTGCTAATTTTGTTTTTTTGCCTTATTTTCGGTATATAATTTTCAATTTTTTTCTGTCTTTTGTTTTCTTTTTCCTCAAGCTCCTTCTTGTATGGTGTAGAAGTAAGAACTTCAGACCGTTGCTTCGGTCTGCCTCTTGAAGTTATATTTTTAACACTAGGTTTAACTTGCGGAATTTTTACCACACTAATAAATGATACATCGCCGCTATCTTTAGAGCAACCAGCAGTGGACTCTACAGTCTAATTATTTTCTTGAGCTGGGTTTCTGGCGTTATCTAAGGTCGGTACTGAGAATCCCTGAGAGTTTCTCTCCTAACGGCAGCTTCATTTTCAGTGAGTTGGTTATTTTCAGTTACAACGGAATGGTCTGTGGCAAAAAATCATCTCTGGAATATACATTTCGGTTGATAGGAAAAATTCCCGATTTCTGAAAACCACTTATCGCTTTCTCTTACATAGCTTATATAAGCTTTAGTAAATAAGCTGTTAACGTCATAAATGGTTATTTTTACATATGGTCTCATTTTTAAGAAGATATCACATTCGACATCGTAGGCTTTTTTCAGTAAAAAAGTCAAATCGAGAGGCTGGATTCGGCGGGAGGTTAACGGCGGTATAGAAAGCAAAATGATTCCATTCTCCTTGCAGAAGGTATAAATTGGCAAAGAAATGTGGGTTTGTGATTTTTTGCAAAGTGTTGAATCCATGCCAAAAACATCTCTTCTACCATCCAGCCATTTTTTGTGCATTTATATATAGATCCGGGAGGTCTGTCTTTTTCTAAAGCAGGTGTCATTCGAATTCTTGGGTATATACTTGCACTCACGCAACAGCATACGGTTATATTTTTACCTCTTTCCCCACTAGTTGCAGAGCCTATTTGCTTTTGGCCCTATAATTCGATATAAATGATTTATGTCTAAATCAGCAGCAAACGGGTTGATGTTTTGTTTTATATTATCAATAAAATCTTTAATTTGTTTAGCATCCTTTGTTTTTCTGCTTTTTTGTATGTCGGCAGTGACATCCTGGCATTTCCTCAGCCCTGTCTGCTCCATCGTATAAGTTATGATTGTTGATCTCAATGTGTGACTTTTACACCATCGCTGTCGAGCAGATAACGAATTCGTCGTGTGACACACCTGTAAGCTTATTGGCAGCATCAGCATTAATTGTTTGTTCAAGAGTTAAATCTATTGGTTGTCTTGAACTTTTTTAGTTTTTTTTTACACCAATTTTTCCCTTTTCTAGTTGCTCCTTTAACCCTGGATGAGTTTGATCAACTTTAAGCAAATTATCATGATACTTTACTAAATAACGCGGGTAGTTTGGCTGATTAAAAGCAAAAAACAAGTTGGCTATTTTTGGCAAAATAGATGTAAACAATTCAAAATTACCATTTCGTATACTTGCACTCAGCGTTAAGTAATAGTCTACGAAAGTTACACATCATGTAAAACTTCGGAGTTTTTTCATGCTCACCTCGTAGTGTTTGTTCCTTGAATTGGTTATATTTATCAAATTAATCCTGTAGGTTCTGTGGCAGTTCTCAAGGTCTATCAGATATTTTTTCTCCAAATTGTAGTAAATATATTTTTATGTCATCGCTTCACACAATATTTTGACGGCTCAAAAATTCATCGAAATGCAAAATTTGCAGAGCTAAAGATACGATCGGATGCAATCGTTTACATCTATTAAAATGCTTCCCTGCAATATAACTGTTCACTGATCCATTTGCCAGCATTTGCGCGTTGACCATAATATTTGTGATGCAGCAGTTATCAATAAATTTACCCACTGCTTTGAAATAAGACATCATAATATGGAATGAGCCAACGTGAATAAATAAGTTATTATACCTTGGCTTCTCGGTACATTGAATTTGTAGGGCAATTTTAGCAATAGCGAGATCATAAGTTACTTGCATACACTCTTCGCCGCATTCCCTAGCGACTTGCTGGCTTTGTTTCATGGTTTCTACAACAACAGATTTATTTGAAGGGTTCAGAAGCCAATCAGTGTAAGTCAGTACGCAATCAAATTGAGATAAAAATGTTTAAAAAAATGAGGGTTCATTTAAAGAAAGTATATTTTGTGTTTATTGATAAAAATAATAAAAATAACATTTTCAACATGAAAATAAAAACTAAATTTGCAACATCTCTAGAAATAACTGATGAAGTTCGAAAATATTGACTTTGTTTGTCCACTGAACATTTTGAAAATCCTAGTCAATATATTCATCACTTTCGCTTCCATTTTCTGCATCAAAATTGAGTTCATTAGCCTGTGAGGTTGAAGCTCGAGTTCTGTCATTAAAGGAAGGCAAACTTCTGAAATATGGATGGTAAGTTGGAGGAATATACGGTAGAAGGTCAAACAAGTGCTTCTTCTTGACAGCTTTTACAGGCCTTCGCTCTGAATACAGTGTATCATGGATAATATTCAAATTAGGGGGTCTTCCCTTTAACGTGGGTTTTTTTATATGAATTTCATAAAATGGAAAGTCGTCCTTCAAGGTTTCTTTGTAAAATATGGAATTATGTTTATTTTTGCAGTATTGGATTTTCTGTTCCAAATACTGTCTTCCAGTTTTTTTGTCGAAAGAAACTTCCTGTTTCATCACTGTTACCAGGAACGGATTGGTCTTTTTAGCACCAGCAACTAAATCAAACCAATCTCTAGGACCATAGATAAACTGCTTCTTTCGAGCTTTTGATTCAATAACACCAAAGTCGGCGTCATTTGGCAGGTAACTGTGACCAGACACCATACATTTGTGGTCAATATAACAAGTGGCCATTTCTGGATCTTGAACTAGTTTCTGTAATAATAAACTCAATTTTATCTTCCTGTTCTGGCCTGTGCAACAATCTGAATACATAATGATGTGTTTATGACCGCGAGCATGAACTTTTAGATGCTTCACTAGACACGCTCCAATTTCTTGTGATCCCGAGAACCTTCAGTCTCATCCCACATGTACATGTAACCTTTATTGTCACCTACCTGAAGGTAGATATACCTAAACCCACATAAGGGCCAGAAATTGTATAGAGAGATGTTTTGGTGTGCTGAAACAAAGGTTTAGGTGTCTACTAAAACACAGGGTGTTGCATTATGACCCTGTAAAGGCTGCAAAAATAGTATATGCATGTGCAATATTACACAATATTGCTTTACAAAAAAACATTGAATTACCTGATGAAGATAATGGGCAAGGAGGAATAGAAATACCAGAAAATGAGGCTTATGTAGTCAATGGAAACAACCAAGGTATTTAATATTAAAAATATTTGCTACATTCATAAAAAAAATGTCCTTTCTAAAAATGCTTCTTTATACTATTTAAAGTTAGATTCATAGTCACTCTTATTTAATAAACATATTCAAACATTAAGTTGTATTTTTCTAAAATTAATGAATAAGTTAAAAACTATATGAATTTGTAACTTTTTTTTTTCAGTGAATCCTTTACGACGAGAAGGACTTCGTAGAATAAATATTTTTAAAAACATACATTTTGCTAATTAAATAAAACACTAATAAAAATGTATATGTTCAATTTTTTAACATATTTATTTCCTACTTGAATAAATTTTCAAAATTTTCGAAGTTTTCGAAAACTTTAAAATATTCCAATTTTAATTGGGCTCTATTCACAGTAGTGTTATTGTTAATAGCTTCTGCAATACTATGTAATGCTCCAGCGGTTGCTTGAGCTGTCTCCACAGACATTTGCTGTGCATTCTCTTAGCTTTTTGCAGCTTCTTGTAAAATTTTTCTTGCTAAAATTCAAATTATTAGAAATTAAATTTAATGTATGAATAAAAATCTCACTTTTAGTTGTTCCACCAGACTTCATCTTTTTTGGTGTAGGTGGCTCTATTTTTAGTATTTTTGTGGCCTTTGCTTCATTTAAAACTTCTATTATCTGTATTTCATCTACAAACGGTTTAATTAGTTATTTTTTTTAATTACATCCCTGCTACACTCCTTACTTTCATTTGTTTCAATACCACTTTCAAGTTCATTTTGGTCATATTCATATATTACATCTAAAAACAAAAATATATCGATGGATAAGAGGACAAATGTTGTATGTCCATAAATGAAGTTTTCAGTAAAATCAATATGAAAGTTTGCATTAATCATGACAAACTAGATATCGTTTAAAATTGTTTAAACTACAGTTAAGTTCGTCTATTACCTTTCTTTTATTTATTATTCGATTCTGATTTGTATTAATGTTAAATATCAATCACATTTTGGTATTTTAGTGAGCTAAAAGCAACCCCTGTATGGACATACAATAAATGTGAAGTACAATATGGACATACAATATATTGCTTCCATACTGCAATACTATGCCATTGACATAAAAATATCGTAAAAGTAGTTTAAAAATAGTACTAGTAGTATAAATTAAATTTTTATTATTTAAACAAATTTGTGGATAAATTCAGACACAATTAAACATCAGTCTGTTTCGTAATCAGATTCACTTGGGACAATATCTATCGCCTCCACGGCTGTAGGTAACATCTCCACAAAGTTTTTATAGTCGCCTGGAATAACCTTTTCGCGTAATAGGCACAAAAGGTCATGCTTTTTTGCGTTGGATATTGGCAACAAACTGGTGTACTGTTGCTCAAGAGATACATCGTAGACATTTTCACACTGTTTGCGTGTTCTCGTTCGTTTAGTGCCTACGTCGCGTATGTTCAGTTTTAAAAAAAATGGTTGACGGATTAGTCTTTATAAAGCGTAACCATTTAATTTGTAACCATTTGACTTGATTTCCGTCGGTGTCACATGTAGTATTTACCATAATTTTAGACGCTAACTCCTTAAAATTATAGAAATCTAAGTATGTGAGATGGGTAACTATGTAGGGACGAAGTTTCAGCCTTGCCATTTGTATTAAAACACCCCATTCACGGGGAGTGTACACCTTCTTATTTCTTCGAGCACGTTCTATGGTAGCATGCATCGAATCCACTTCTAGGTATGTATGTCCTGGCTCCAAGTATTTTAGATCTATTACTTCAAGATTATCTATGTTAGCAACAGCATACAGCATCGCAGCAGTCACATATTTATTGCGGTTTTGGCCACAAGTGTCTGAAAATGAAGATACATGTGTAACAGTATTAGGTAAAGATTGCAAATATTTTAGCAAACAACTTCCAATTTCAACTGATCCTTTCTTGCCCTGTGTCTCGTCCCACAGATAAGAATAACCATCTGCATTGGAAGCATCAAAAATGGTGAAATTATAGACAGAAAGTTTGCGTCTATAGAATATTTGGCTATCACCAGCATAAGGCACATTTAGTATTGACTGTAAGTCAAATGTAATAGCTCGAAATGTTTCACCTTTATTGTCAACTGCTTTCTGTTTGTCAGCTGCTTTCATTTCCACTTTAGCTTTATGTGCCTCCCACTGACTTTGCAATTCTGTTTTATCTGTGGCACTGTTATAAACGTTACATTGGTCTTTTTTCGGTTTATAAAATGACAAAGGTGGATCATAACTATTAAACACTGATCGAAATACATTGTACTTTACAGATGGTACATTGTTTTGAAGACAATAATTGCTGCAATATAAACGATATATCACACTGATATTTAAGTCACTTGCTAGATATTGCCTCATAGTATCACGGCGACAATAATGGGATGCCATTCTAGGGAACATGTCAATATGCGTCTTAATATGACGAACTTGCTCAGCAGATGTTACATTCGGAGCTGGTCTTCCTTTGCGATGGTCAAAGCCGACATAAACACCACTGTCTCCACGGTATTTTAATGCAGTTTCAACTACTTGAAAACTGAATGCAAATGTAGCACAAAAATATTTTTGACACACCCTTACACGTTTATTAGAGGCACTTAGTAAATGATAACAACGTCTGTGTTTTCTAGTTTTTTTTTCTATCATTACGATTTATTTCTCTGTCAATGTTTTTCTCTTCCACTAGCGAGCAAATAAAATTTTTTTGTTTTGTTGAATCAGCCATTTCCCAATATTCCTTACAAATTATTATTTGTCTGTCTCTAGGTATGTTAATGCTGCATTTATATCTACAGTTATTGCAATTAACTATACCAGGCGATTTAGCTGTTACTATCGCACCTTTTCTGTTTACATATTCTTTGCCAGCCACTCTTAACAACTTCATTTTATTTTTCTTCCATAATTCCGGTTTAGCCACTAGCCTGCGTTTTCTTTCTCTTCGTGCTGTTCCTTCTATGTCATAAACTACAGGAGATAGTACGCGATGATTTTCTGAGTCATGTGTTGGCGAAGCTGAACTACTATCAGATGGAAGGTAGTCACTTCCAGAATCAGCAAATGGCTCATCGACAGTACACTCTGATAATCGTCTTATACAGGAAGGTCCAGCTACTGTCTCTGGAAGAATGTCATCTTGATTCTCGTCCAAATTTAAATCTGAAAACATTCAAGCTACAGTTTTTTTCTTCATTTGTTACTTTATTATGTCAAATAAAAATATTTATGATCCAACTACTTACTATTTTTTGCAATTTGAACTATTCGCTTTCCTCGGCTGTTCATTTTACTTTTATATTTCTTACGCTACACAAATTTATCAATTAAATGTGTAGATAACTTTAAGTCGAAAATACAACAAACACTGAAACGACAAATTCCTAGCACACTCACAAATATTGTTATTTACCCCACCAACAGACTCCTGCGATGTCTTTGCGCAGACGCTTGCAACACGTCATCGATATTGTATTTATAACATTATATACAGTGCATTGAATAGTTGATTTATTGAGATAATCTCTAACCACAAAGTTAAATGAATGTTTATATTTTTTAAGGCAAGTTATTTCTAAAAGTATATAATTTTCAATTATAAACACCTACCTATAGTCTCCTCTACTATCCCACTAGTTTGGTCAGTGGTTTCTACGAAGGTGGTAGCGGCACTGCTTTCAACTTCAGCAGAGGCACTGGTTTGAGCTAAAACAGAATTTGAGGGTACAGCTGTTTTAAAATATTTGTTTATATATACCTCTTGCACAAAAAGACTGGAATTTCAGGGTCGCCCAAATGAATTTTTCCTAACAAAGAAAGCAATTCTTCCTCTAATATTGTTAATTTTAACCCACTATTGGGTCCACCCCCTGTGCCAAGAAGCTCCTGGTGAATCTTCCTGCTCTTCTTCCTGGTATTTTGTTTCCACTCAACCAGAGCCTGTATTATATAAAAATATTTCAATTGAAGGCTTAAATTAAATGAGTAATGTGCTAAGTGCCAAAAAATTGATTTTTAATTTTATACTTGTAAAATGTCCTAGGTGCCATTACAAACAACATATATAAAGCGCTAAGTGATACGGATATAAAATAATTTAATAGCCGTGGAACTTAGCGCTTCATATATGTTGTTGGTTAATATGGCACCTAGAATATTTTACAAGTAAAAAATGAACAACCGATTTTTTGGCACTTAGTACATTATTTAATTCAAGCCTTCAATTAATTCTTTAAATTAATACCTCAACGTTTTATCATTAACTTACTTGTCGCTATTGCTGCCCAGTTTTTTGTGGGCCATATGCCAAAGCATTTATATAACTTGCAAAATTTGTCCATAAATTTGAGATCACTTTAAAATCACTGGATTTACTTTTGCCACCCAACAAAATTTTATTTTTTTTTTGACAAAATTCAGCAACTCCTCGTATTGCAATTGGCTAGTTTTGCCTAACCTTTTCGCCATTTTTAAATTAAAAACCACCAAACTAAAGAGTATAAAATAAGTTAACACTACCAAACAATTATTTCGAAGACAAACAAAATAGCACAAACGTAAATACACAAAAAATAAAAGGCGAT